GTTTTGTATAGGGATTAAGCACAGTTCAATCCTTGAGGCAACTTTTACTTTTAGAAAGACTTCTGATCTTTTAAGATTAGACGTTAAAGAGCCGAGCAATAATTTGTATAAAAAATACTGGCGAAGCATGCAAATTGCGAGGAAAAAAATGACATTGCAGGTGCAAGAGAAGAGAATGGGAACTATAAGAAACAAACTGACAGTCATGAAAAGCTTTGTTCATTAAAGTGCTATACAGGAGAGCTTTCCTAAGCCCTGGGGCTGTGACTGCTTGATGTGGGGGTTTTTTTCACCCAGCTAGTTGCTTCCAGCACCACCTGAATACTTCTGTCCAAATTTAAGTGTTCACAATGATAATACTTTAAGCCAGATAGTGTGTTTATATGCATTTTATATATTTATAAAATAAAAAGAGTCCTGCAAGGAACAGTATGATTCCAGTTATTGTTTGTGTGTGTGTGTAGCAACTGTACTAGCACGCAATAGACAGATTTTTTTTTTTCTTGCTGTGTAATGAAGAAGTGACTGAGAATACCCATGTGGTTCATCACCAGATTTCCACAGAGACCCAGTTCTAATTGCTGAAGCAAAAGGATAATTTTCCACCATTGTGAATAATTATTGTGTTGCTCTCAACTACGGGCATGTTGTGGACTTTTCTGTTTGTTTTTGGTCTCATCAGTCTTTTTAAGCACATAAACCATGCTCACTTGGTAGACTGTAACACTGAATGACGGAGATGGGGGAAGGAGGAATAAGGAATGCAAAACAGGAGGCGAGGGAAGACAAAAGAAACTCTGTTTTCCCTTTTATTAGTTTTATCAGTGTTAACATGTGGACACGGCAGAATGACAGTAAAAGCTGGCGAGACAAGGCAGACGACCCAGCGATGCCAGAGGCCACAAAAGAGGCAACACTGTCTGCTGAGTGTGGAACCAGAACAACAATAGTGTCTCTACAGTACAGATGAGACCAGGCTGCTTGGTGCCAGCGTGTTACTGGCTCTTTGAGTGTTTGTGTGTCTCTGCCAACCTGGACCAGAGTGGCACAGAGGGCTTCTCCCAGCACTGTTCATTGTCCTCCAACTGTAACGTCTAACCTATTATGTACACTTTAACCAGCCGGGGACAGGGTCTTATTTTTTCTGTCAATGCTGATAGGGATGACTGTTAGTATACACTTGTTGTATATGTGCGCGTTTGTGTATCTTTCTGTCATTCAGATCTGAGGCACCGTGTGATGTACACTCACTGCCCTTTACTCCTGCCATTGTTCCTTGGACTTCTGTTGCTGCAGAGATAGCACAGTAATCACTCTGAGCCAGAGCAACCTCACATAAAGATAGGCCCAAATGTCTTAAACATACAAGCTTGTACGTTCTGACATGCCACCTGACCTTTGACCATTCCACTAGCATGACAGAGTGTTCTATACTTCACCCGCACACACACGGTGACGCATTACACGCCCAGTGAGCATACTGTTCATGTAGCCTAAGGGCCTATGCTGAGAAGCTACAGTACATTAATAACCCTGCTTGGAATTTTTCTGATAAGCTTGACTTTTTTCCACATTTCCCAATACTGGATATGACTAACATAAATTAATTGTTCAAACATTTGGAAAGGAAATTCAGGGTTATGGGTGTGTCTTTCCAGCTGCAAGAATACTTCTCATTAAGTGGGTGTCCAAAAAGAAAACAAAGTCTAAATCCACAAATGTTCATTCTCAAGACTCATGTGTTTGAGTAAACAGCTGTATTTTCTTGCATATGGACACTTCTCTGTGCCCAACTTGTCCAAAAGGGCCTGTCAATTCACACCCCGACACTGTTGCTCACACAGAGTGGCACACAGACGAGCCAAATCATGCCCGCCATGTCTGCAGTGCTGTGATGCTAACCACTTCTGCCTTGAGTCGAATTCAGCAAGGAGCCGGGAGGCTGTTATTGAAGAGAGACAGACCGAGGGACAGACAGGGTGATGAAAGACGCAAAGCGGGTTAGCTGGATGGGTGAGGGATGATGAGAGGGTAGAGAGGGAATGGCACATGGCTCCAATCACTGCTCTTTTCTTTCTCCCTCTTTTATCTGTCTATCTGTCACTTTTTTCCCCCATATATATTCTCTTCCTTTCCTATTTTCTCACTGTCTGTCTTCCTCACTGTCTCTCTTTCGCTCCCTTTCATCATACAGTGTGACTTTTTCTTTTTTCTTTTATTCATGTAGTGATCCTCAAGTGACTTTTTTTGTTGATGTGCATGTGTCTAAGCCCTGGAGTGGGATATTTTTTGATTGCTTCAATTTGTTGATTACCTCCAATGTGAGGTTCTTGATTTTGTCCTCTGAGAAAACAAGTGACAGGCCGGAGCTCAGAGTTTCAGCTTAAACTGTGAACTGTTGTTTGGGTGGGGCTAGGGGTGAAAGTAAAAATGGGAGTTGGGATGTGTTTTTCCTTTTGGAGGGGTGTGAGCTGTCATGTGGATAAAATTATGAGTTTTAGATGGATTGGAATGTGTGTGTGTGTGCGTGTGCATGTGTGTGTAGTGACTCTAAACGTGTGCAAAGCAGTCTGCAGCCCGTGTTATGTCATGACAGCATTTGCATGTCGCCTCTGAAACCAAACATTCTTTGCTAAGCTTCGAGTCCCCTTCCTTGGATAGCGAATGCGTTGATTGACAGGCTGTTTGCTTTCTGCAAGATTTCAAACATTATTTCAGCCCCCGATCATTGTTGTTCAGAGCCTATGCTGATGGTATGCTTCACTAGGTTACATTTCACAAATCGCGTAAAGGTGCCTCTCCTCCACCTGTATTTCAGTGAGAACAGACACAGGACTCCGGAGCTGTGCTGTGAAAAGGAGCTGGGTCAGGCGGATGTCTGGTTCTCAGCGCTGTTGTGCCTGTGACAAAGAGAATAGACGGCAACCTGAGACTCACAGGCCTGTTTGTTTCCTGTTAGTGCAGATTATCACATTTCACTAGCCAGGAGGGACAAGAACTAAGCATCATGGGAGAGTGACATTCTTAGCTGGGAGATGCTTGTGTGTTTGTGTTCTCATTTAACGAGATTGTTATGGTACATAGAAATCCTGGACAGATATAGAAGCATTTCTGTTAGGTACTGTCTGCAAGGTTGTTTGTCGTAAAAGTGCATCTCCAGACAGGTATGACCCAATTTCCCTACACATGCAGTTTTCTTACAGGTCACTCCAAGGTAAAGTTTTGATTCAGGCCCGTAAGGTAGCATTCATCTTCACTAGGCTAAAAGGTTGTTTTTTTTAAATGTGTCTTCCTGTTCACCTCTCCATATTTAAAAGAGCCACACAGCTAAAGTAAATGATTGTCTATTCACTCTGTGACTCAACCAGTTAGAGTTAATTATGTATTGCAACATAGCGTCATCTCGAAGAAAAATATTGACTGCTGTGGTGAAATTTGTGGTATTTGAGTTTTAAAGCACTCCCCCTTTCATATCAAGTTTCTTTCCAGATGAAATCACCTCGCTCGCATTGGTTCAAAAGAATTTCTACCACATGTGTTCATCCGTCTCTATCTCCTGCTTGTTTCCTGTGATCTTGTTCTGCTGATTCAATCTCTGGAGCTGTGTCTGTCTTTCCCCCCCTGTATGTGGTGTGTCATGTTGAGCTGTACTGTGTGATGTTGTTGCCACATCAGATAGGCTGTTGCTCCCCAGCAGAGTTCATGTTTGGCATCCAAACAGCAGAGAAGTAGTGGTAGTGCGGGGCAGCCAGGTCAGCAGCAGAGGAGGGCGGGGTGAGGGCTTTGTTAAGAAAAGCAGGAATTCTTCCGGCTGGCAGATGAAGTCAGTGCATTCCTCCAAAGCAGCTCCCTATAGGCAGGCAGTGGAGCAGAGCCAGACACTGAATGAGGGGCAAGATAATGGTGGGGCTCAGTATTGAACACCTCCCATTGAGAACTGGAGAGACAGACAGAAAGAGAACACCATCTGTCTGACTGTGGGTGAAGAGTTGTCTTTTTACCCACCTAGGCTACAAAGTTTCATTTATTGTGCCAAGTTCAATAGATAATCCTACCGCTGCCTGAGGCATTTCACTTTTTATGAGCACTGCTGTGTTTTATTACCTTGTTTTGAAGCTCAGCTGTAAAGCACAGACAGAGAGAGTGAGGACTGAACATAACGATAACCATTTAGGTTAAACCTGCTGCCCAGACGTGTGTTGGGCTACCTGCTGATCTGCTCTCTGAAGTCTGATGAGACCCAGTTCTGGTCCTGCTGAGGAGGATCAAACTGAGGGATACACACACACACACTCCTGTCTCTCCTGCCATGATTCTGTGTATTTCTACCCGCACAAACACCCTCTCCCAAACATAGACACACTTGAGTTGCTCTACTTTCCCTGTCCGTTCCCCTCGGCAGTAAGCTATCATAACGGCTTTGAAGGAGGGCAACGGAGCGTTTAATTGGGTTACAGATTGGCATTTATGCTCCCAGGTCCACAAGATACTGCCGGGGCCCTTAACTAACCACTAGGAACTTTACAAAATGCTACACTGCTCTACCCTTCGGCTGCTGCTGGTGTTGAAATTTACAATTCAATGATGCTCTCAGCACAGCACGTTTTTGACGTCAGTCCTGTTTGGTGTAGAAACTGGTATTTCAACAAAGTGGCATACAAATGAGGGTACCGCTTCCAATTTGGTTTATTTAGGTTGGCAACAAGTCGTATCATATGTTGGGGGAAGATTACATCATGATCCACAACTCAGTGAAGCCATCAGATAATTGTTGCCCCCCCCCCCCCCCCCCCAGAGTTCTCCATTGTTTCTACATTCACAAAAGTTGGAAGTCAGATTAATAATCAGTCATATCAACACGTCTCTTAACATGTTTCTCTGTTCTTGTCTTTCAGAGTCATTGCCACGCAGTGTCATGCAGTGTTGAGTTGAGTCAACCCAAGCAGAAGTGATCTGTTTTAAAGACCATCTTACC